GAGCTCTCGCCTGCCTTGCGGGACGGGGGGGCGCTCGCCTTTCCACGGGGGACGCCTCGCGCATGGAACGGGATGGTAGGTTGCATCGTCGTTGATGCATCTGTGAATTCTTCGGGGATCTGCTGACCCAGGTCAATCCAGACCCGGGTCAATCGGATCTTGCAGCATCCTGCAGGAACCTGCACCCAAACACGGGTGAATGCGACCCTGGCCCTGCAGGATCCTGCAAGATCCTGCAGGATCCTGCACCCAAGCCCGGGTCAATGCAATCCTGACCCTGCAGGATCCTGCAAGATCCGGCGCCCTGACTGACCCCCGTCTGCATTGACCCCCGTCTCTGGAGCGCCGAATTCTGGAACTCCGCGCCCTTCCGTCCTCCGACCCTTCCTAGAGCGCGCTCTGGCCATGATCCCGGAGCGGATTTCGCCGTGGTGACGAGGTGGCCCCACATAACCCCCAAACAAGACAACAAATCTGCCAACGCTAAACCCAAAAGATGAATGTTTGCACCGTGAGAATGCGAACTATGCGGAGTAAGCTGTGCGGCGTGAGCAATGTTGAATCGAGTATGCGGTGTGACCTATGTGGTGTGATCTACGCGGCCCACCCAAGCCACGGGCGCCCACGAGCACCCACGAGCGGGAACGTGGAAATTATTCGGCGAACCCGTCCGATTATTTCAGCAAGCGAAGTGATAACCCCTCAGTGCAAACACTGCTTGGAGAAAAAGCTTCCTCCTCTCCTCTTCCCTACTCTTCCGAAGTCACGAGTCTTTCGTGACGTGGGCCCTTGGGGGTAGCTCCCGACCCCTTGCCACGCGCTGCATTTTCATCCAAGGGTCGTTTTCTCAAGCCCGAACTGGCCCCCCCAGAATCCGAAAACTGGAAGACTTGTCCGTCGAATTTGATTTCCACGACGTCTGGAAATCCTGGTCTTCCGCTTTCGTTGGGGGCCAAGAAACGAACCCAGAGGGCGGAATAACCACCCTCAGAACCAGCATTTCGCACTTCGTTAGCAAACGCACCTGAGGAGGGGATCGAACAGGGCAGGGCAGTTCAGTAGACGCCAATGGCTGTTTTAACAAATAACAACACATGGGGTCGGGTGTCATCCCTCCCCTGACAACGGATGAGGCGACCGCATCTGCGTGCCCCAAATGTATAGAGCACCACCACCTCCATGAGCCCGTTCCTTTATTCGCGGCGATTACGGGCGTTCTGGGGGGGGGGGGGGCGGGGGGGGGGGGGCACAACGTAACGTCCCACCCCGGGGCAGTGCGGTTCCAGCACTACCGCAACGTCCGCACGCACCTCGACGACGAGCGACGAGCGACGAGCGACGACGACGACGACGACGAGCGACGACGAGCGACGACGAGCGACGACGACGACGACGTCGACGACGACAACGACCGACGACCGACGATGACGACGACGACGACGATGACCGACGACCGACGACGGACGGTCGACGGCCGACGGCGACGACGACGACCGACGACGACGACCGACGACCGACGACGACGATGACCGACGACCGACGACCGACGACGACGACGACGACGACGACCGACGACCGACGACGACGACGACGACGTCGAAGACGACGGGCGACGCCTCCCGAGTTCTCCGCAGCTTTCGGAAGCCTCCGAAAGCCTCTGCAGACCCCCAGAAGCCCTCCGGACCACTTCCGAAGGCCTCTGGAGGCCCTCGAGGGCTTTCGACGGCGTTAACCAATGACGAGCGACGGCGAGCGACGAAGAGCGACGGCAAAAACGACGGCGACGACAGAATCTGCCGAACAATTCCAATGATGTTTGAAGAATGTGGAGCGCCTGGGAAATCTGGAGGCCAGGAGTGAAGGCGACGACGGCGACGACGACGAGCGACGACGAGCAACGACGACGACAACGACGACGACGACGAACGACGATTGCAAGAGACGGCTTGTGGCGAGCACATGCGTGCGGAGGCGCCGATGTTTCCACGTGGTATATCAGAGGTGTACTCCTTCCCTCCCTCGTCTTTCCTCGTCGTCGTCGTCGTCCTTCTCGTCCTCTTGCCCTGTATCTTAAGAACACCACGAGTGCGTGAGAGCACCGAAATTTGCCCGCGACCACCACGGATCCCTATACGGATCCGCATGCGGATCCTTATGGGGATGCCTGCGCGGATTCCTATACGGATCCCAATTGGGATCCCTATTCCGATCCGTATGCGGATCCCCAAGGAGATCCCTATGCGGATCCCTATGCGGATCCCTGCGCGAATTGCCATGCGAATCCGTATGCGGATCCCTATGCGGATCGCTATAACCCCATGCGGTTCTCCATATGTATCTGTATGCGTATCTTCATGGGGATCTCAAAGCGGATGCCTTGGTGAATCTCGATGGATATCCCTATGCGATTCCCATGCGGGCGGATCCTTTTGCGTATTGTTATGCGGATGCCTCCTCGGGTCCCTATCGGGCTCCCTATGCGGATCCCTATGCGCATGGCGGCGGAGCCGGGGGTGCACTGGATGGGGGGAGCGTTACGTCATGGGGTGGGGGTTGGGCTGGGGGCATAACGCGATTCATGGCCCAAGCAATACAGTAACGAGCTCCATTCCCCTCTCTCGTCGACCAGACCGAAGCGCGAACGCAACTTGTCCGCGGCTAAGGGGCCAAACGACACGATCCGCGCCACCCAAGGGGGTTACCATCGCGGCCCGGGAACACCAAATCTCCGAAAGACCTCAGTCGGCAAACCCATACCACAGCGGGACCACCGCCAGAATTCAGGGGTATCGCCCCAGCCCCTCCAAGGCACCGGCGCCCCTGGCCCGCCGCGCCGCCCCCGCGCAGGCGACGTTTTGACGGAATTTAGTTCACCCCAGGAACCCCGACGTGCCGCCCCACGCGCCGAGGTGCCCTCCTGGGGGCTCCGTTCCCTCTCCCTCCTCTAACCCGATAACTGCACTAAGCGGCAATTGGGGATTAGCATCGCCGTCTGTGACAGACGGTGCGCCGCCTGTGACGGATGGTGGTTCTTGGTAACACTGAACGTGGCAACCGGTGGAAGACAAGACGGGGAGGAGCAGGGAGCAGGGAGAAGAGGAGGAGGAGGAGGAGGAGAAAGAGGAGGAGGAGGAGGAGAAAGAGGAGGAGGAGGAGGAGGAGGAGGAGGAGGAGGAGGACGACGACGATGACGGCGATGTTTTTTCGCGCGCGCTCGGGGTCGCGCGCCCGCGCGCGGTGGCTCAGTCAGAGCGCGCCCCGCTCAGCGTCGACGCGTGCTTTTCGTCAGTGTGGGGGGTCACAACTGCGACGCCCTCGCGAGCAGGACGCCGCAACTGCTGCGTCCCCGCGTGCTTTCCAACATCAGCCTCGCCTCCAACGGCCCTGCTGACCGCCAGGGCCCCACTGCGAAGAGGCCCAACCGCCCCCCAGCCTGAATGCAACAACCACCAGACGTCGCTGCCAGCAGGGGCATCCCATCGCTAACTGGGGACTCCCTTGCCGCAGCCTCCCAACTCCGCTGGTGACCCCGAAGGCGGGTCTGAACCCGCAACTGCGGATTCCATTGGCGCAGCCTCCCCCTTGCCAGGTGCACCCCACGCCGCCCCTGAACCTTTCCCAGGCTGGGCCCGCAACTGCGAGCCATCGCCTTTCTGCCGCGTCGCTTTGCCACAAGGTCGCTGCTGCGGGGCAGCGCCTTTCGCTGGTGGATCCGGCGCCGCCTCTCCTGGCCCAGGTTCGGCCCGCAACTGCGAGCCATCGCGGCTCCGAGCCTCGAGCCGCGCCTGCGCTCTGACGGTTTCGGCAGCGCTCCTGTCCCGCAGCGCCTGCGGCGAGCGACGCGCCGCCCCACTGATGAAGGTGCATCCTGGGAAGTGGGCTGCCTGAGTGGTGAGCGGTGCCAATCTTCCACGTCTGAATGCGCAACATATTCTGCCGTACTGCCATCAAAAAAACGGGATCTCAACCTCGTGGGCGGCAGCGCCGCGACTCTCCGCCTCCAGGTTCGCGCGGGCGGCGTGCGCCGCAACTGCGGCGATTGAGGGAACAAGCTTTTGCAGCAGGCGCTCGAGTGCCTGCCGCGGGGGTCTGGCCTTGGGCAGGTACGCGGAAAAGGACTTGG